AAACATAGAGCACTACTATATAAAGGGTTGAATTGAGTATGTGTACATTATATGCTTTTATAATTCAATTTTAGAACTTTTTATTTGTGGGAATCTACTTTATTGTATGGCAGTTTATGGAGGCTAAGTTTTTCCCAAAATATTAATGTATGAACAAAAACGTGGCTATAAGTTACTACGGTCACACTTAGTCTTGCCCCGGGTCCGGTCTGACCGGCCCGTGAACCGGCCTGGTGAACCGGGACCGTTTCCGGGCCTAAGACTAGCCCGGGGTGTTAGGACAGGCCGGGTACGGGTCACCCCATCCTTTGGAATCGGCCCGGCTGGGCCTAGTTCGGGCCTTTTTTTGTTTTTCAATTTTTCTTGTTTTTCCCGGGTTGGGCTGGGTGTTTTGGAGGTTTTTTTTTTTTTTTTTTTTTTTGGGGGTGGGGGGGGGGGGGGGGGGGGTTAATCAGAAAAGCAAAATATATACAAATAAGGTCTATTCGAAATTGCATCAGATAGGGATTATTGTGCATCAGATCGACACTTAAGATGTCTCAGACGACTGAGATTAATACGGAGTATATGTTTTACACGTTAAGATGTCTTCTCATTTGAACTCATCCACTTAAGATGTCTCAAACGACACCTCTTATTGTGAGAAATGAGAACACATCCAACCCCTTCATCTCATTAAGTGATCGGTCAATAAGTAATTGGTTCACGATATAAACATGAATGTGCTCACATAGTAGCATATCTCGTAGAAACTAAAAGAGGAGCGTTCAACAAATAAAGGATACTAAAGTAATTTTAAGAAAACATCAATTAATATGGTAACGATGGAGGCTGTCACTTTCCACAAAATTAGGTAAAAATGTAAACTCAAATATAAAATGCTTGTAGTTTAAAATTGATTTATCCTTTTCAATTATAATCCAATTTTATTAAACATTATATCAAATTAACTAATTTTTTATTATCTTTCATATGACACCAATATCGCATATATAATTTTTTTTTAAAAAAATAAGTATAATATGTTTACGATAAATTACACCAATCAATTCCAGGCTTCCAGCTATAGCACACACATCAACGTGCAGTGCACACACAATAATCAATATCTAATGCACACGAAAAGTAGTACATCACACATAGTTTGTATATAAAGCACCAAAACAAGTATCTCAATCACAAAAAGTAATATCTAATACACAACAATTAATAACTAATATCGAACACATAAGGTTTTCATATAATTTAAATTATTACTCCATATATAATACACATGAACCGGTATCTACGACACAATATCTATATATTTTAGAGAACGTGTATGTAGCACATAGTATGTACATGGCCGGAGAACCACAACAAATACATCATGCACAATAATCAATATCAAACACAAAATCTCAAATAGTGCATTTGAGTGACATAATAGTGAAATAGTGAATTGTACTAATGCAAATGAGTGAGCAAAATATGAATATGTTAAGACGTAAAGTATGTTGAACATAGGGAAACCATGAATGTGCAACCGATAGTCATTCATTGTGCAGAAAGTGAATAAAATGTTAAGTGTGCATTTAAATGACATAGTAGTGCGACCAGCGCTTGAATTGTGCATAAAGTGTGTCCTTAGTTTTTTTAGGTCTATGGTAATTTGCACTCATTTGCAATAGAATAATGTAGTAGTGATTAAGATATATATTATGTTAATTGCATTTGCGAAATATAAAATTGATGTAGTACTGATTAAGAAAAGGAAAACCAAATGATGAGAAAACAAAATCAGAATGAGATATAAAGCAACATTTCTATAATTAAGAAAGAAAACCCACTAATGAAGATTCCATTAGAAAAAGCATCATTTTCATTATTAGGCAACAAAAACCACGTGAGATATAAAATGCAATATATAATAGGATATGGATTTACTTTCCATAGTGGAACGGACACATGTATTAGGAACGTATTTTGACACCATCGGTTACAAAACTGCCGATTAGTGTTATACGAAAATACCCTTTAGTTGATCGTAGATGGTTATATCTTTTGGATGGCTGAGATTTGTTCTCACTTCTCACGTTAAGACTTGTTCTCATTTGAACCAATATATATATATATATATATATATATATATATGTTTTGGTTCAAATAAGAACACGATCTTATGAGAGAAATGAGAACGAATTTGGACCGTTAGATTTGCTTCAAGTGAAATTCAGTGCGCATTAGATGAAACTGTAATGTGCATTAGGTGAAATTGAAATGTGCATCACAAAGGGTACGATAGAGTGGCATTATGTGCAGTTGAATTGTGCATTACATGAAATTGAAATGTGCACTAGGGGAAGCTGAAATGTGCAGAATAAAAAGTACGATGTGATGTTATTTTTGTACTTTTTATTCGCACATATCAGTTTCATCTAATGCACACTTGAGTTTAAATTTTTATTTTGCACATTTCAATATCATTTAATGCACATTTCAGTTTCACCAAATGCACAATTTGGTTCCACATAATACAATCCAACGGTCCAGATTCGTTCTCATTTTTCTCCTAAGATCTGTTCTTACCGGAACCACTCCCTATATATATATATATATACATATATATATATATATATATATATATATATATATATATATATATATGTATATATGTATATATATATATATATAGGGAGTGGTTCCGGTAAGAACAGATCTTACCGGAACTAGTCCTCCCATGCTAACCTACAAACTGTCACAAACTGTGCATCTTTACATTACTTGTACTGCATATTGAAGTTCAAAGTGTTGCATATTATTTGTATTGCATATTGAAGTTCAAAGTATTGCATATTATTTATATTGCACATTGAAATTCACAGTGTGCATCTTTACATTATTTATACTGCATATTATTGAGTTTGTAGGTTAGTATTTTAAGCATGATTTGTATTTGATCTCTTATATATATATATATATATATATATATATATATATATATATATATATATATATATATATATATATATAAACCTGGGCTTGTCAACGGGTCGGATAGGGGCCGGAACTATGAATTTCATATCCATATCCGTTGAGTAATTTTTGGTCCATATCCGGACCCATTAACCCTTCGGGTCCTAAATATATGTTCCAGATTTGGGTTCGGCGGGTCTCGGATCCGGGCCGGGTATACCCGCAAAAAAAACTAATTGACATGTGCAGACAAATATTGTAAATAACAAAATTTATGTTCATATTGGAAGAGATCATATATAAATAAGAAAACTAAGTGTTCTATCCATTAGTCTATACATCCTCAAACTTAATAGAAACAAAATTCCGAAACAAGAAAGGGATTAATATCAAGAGGACCTAGCTAGAGCCCTAAACTTATTGGAAAATTCCTTTTGTACACGCCAAGGTTTACAAGCTAGGTTACATGCCAGTCAAATTGTCTGTGTACAGACAATTTGACCGGCTACACAAACAATTTGACTGGCGTTTTATGAAAAAAAACTTATTTTCACACAGGCAAAAATAAAAAAAATTGTCTGTATCACAGAAATTTTATGAAAAAATCCTGTCAAATGTTTGTGATACAGACAACTCTTTACTTTTTATCTGTGTGGAAATCGATTTTCTTCATAAATCTTCGGTCAAATTGTCTGTGTAGCCTGTCAAATTGTCTGTACACAGATAATTTGACTGGCGTGTAACCCGGCGTGTACACGAAGCGGGACTCAAACTCATTAGGGAAAACCCCGTTATAGTGGGCAAACCACTACCTAAGCCTACAATTATTAAAACTTTTTTATATTTGATTATTTCCCTTATCTTGTGTTTAAATATAGGGGAAAATAATAAGAAATACCCCAAACTTTGAAAGGTTGTGAGGTAAATACCTCGAACTTGCATATGTAATTTAAATACCCTAAACTTTAAATAAAAAGTTATTCTTGCACCTTTTTAATGCATTATTTCTTTTAAAAATGTAAGTTTATGGAGTTAATTGCATAATTTAAAATAGAAAACTAAAAGTTTTGCAATTGTATAGATTGGGGGTAACATTATTTATTTCCTAATGCAAGCTTAAAATGTTAATTGTGTCTTCATGAATTCCAAAATATTTTAAATTATACAATTAATAACGTAAACTTTACACTTTTGAAAGAAATAATAGTTGACTATGGTACTATAATAAATCTTTATATAAAGTTTGGGATATTTAAATTACATATGCAAATTTGGGGTATTAATCTCACACCCCTTCAAAGTTTGGGGTATTTTAATTATTTTCTCCTTAAATATATCTATGTACATTGTGTGTGTGTAAAATTATAACTATAATTATATCGCCACGGGTCGGGTCCAAAACGGGCCGAAATTTAAAAATCCAATCCTACCCATTTTTCTCTCTCATGTAACGGGTTCGGATCCGGATCCGGGAAATGGTTCTAAATTTAGACCCATTCCTCAAAAACAGTGTCAGATTCGAATCGGATCTGGGTCTAGACCCAACCCATTGACAGTCCTATATAAACCGACCCGAGACCAGCCCGAGACTGGCCCGGCCCTTTCCGGACCCGGTGGAAACACGGGCCGGTTCCAGGCCTTCACGGCTTCACCCAATATGAAAAAGCCCGGTTTGGGACCAGCCCGGAACCGGTCCATGACTAGTCACACTTTTGTCCACTACTTTTATTTTAATTATATATTTAGACTTATTTCTAAAAAATAACAAAGTGATCAAGATAAAGTTCTGATTTTTTAGCATTACTTTTTACTTGAATGATTATTATGTACGATGATAATGTTCATTTTGTTAATGTTCATTTTGTTTATATTTATTGCAGAGTGTTACTTTAACATCCAATGCTCACTAGATGTCTAGACTCTAGATGAGCTTAAATGCTTAATCAGTGATATGATAATTTGAATAACCATATTATTGTCATATTAATCGTTTTTTTTTCTTCCTGCAAGGTCCGTTACAGACAACATTATGATAGTATATGAATCGCAATACTAATTTAAAAGACACAAATTTGAAAGAAACCAACAATGGGAAACATGAAGTTTGAAACCACTCAAAAAACGTACCCTTTGTAATGACTTCAAGAATGGAGTATCTTCCATTCTTTTTTATTTTCTGCTAGATACTCGTCAAGCCATACTACTAGAGATGGTCAAGATAATGCTTCTCTCAACTACTTCAGAAACATGAATGTTAACCTTTTTTAGCTTTGTCGATTATCTGGTTAACTGGTTTAGACAAGCGATCTGTCCAATCCTACTTATGAATGGCAATTTCGGGTTTAATCTCATGATGCATCTTTAGGATATTTAACACTCCAAATTACTGAACACTATGTACATCTTAAACCGGAGAAAGGCAAATACTTGAGAGTAATCGATTCCTGTCCATCATGTCTATGAGTACCATAACTAACCCTCCGTTGAGTTCCATGCAATCCAAATTGGGGAAGGATTCATTCAATGCCACGGGTGGGTGGGTGGGAGGGCTTTACCGTAAAAATATTATCAATACCCTGTTCTGCTTCTCTAGACTAATATAGTAACCACTGGGAAAGCAATGGGAATGCAATTTTGGCATTTCATTTCTTTTTTTGCCACATGGCAAGCAAATAGGGAGGGGGGTTATGGTCACCCTCCAAGGAGGGGGTGAACAAAATTGCACTCAAGCAATGGTGGAAGGAGAAATTGTGCCACTACAGGTGGTACAACAGCACACCGCAACTCATCAAGGGCGATGAGAAAATAATGGGCATCATTTTTGCAACTCAAGTACAAACGCAGCTCATCAAGGATGATGAGAAAAATAAAAAATCCAGGCACATTCAATTCAGAACTTGGAGCATTACTCGAACCACCACCGGCAGGGGCTTTGTCTAAACTCAACTGGGTAGATGTAGCAGTGCCCATTGACAACCGCAAGTCCGTAACTGATGGAGAAAATTTGGTATGTTAAACAAAGTCCGCGCACATAGTATCTTCTGTATTCCTAGTATATTACTTTCAAATTCCCTTAATTCTACGCCAAATGGGAAGTGATCACAGATTCACAATTCGTGCGAGCCAGGAGTGAATCAGTTGTGTAAGAGCGGAGGAGAAGGCACACAGGCAGGAGTTACAAGGGGCCAAAAGATCAACGTGATATCAGCACTGCATCTCATCTTGAAGAAGAATTTCATAAATATCTGTCCTCAAATTCAGCTCTTTATCTCGCATTACTTCCTGAAGATCTGAGAGCTCCTTTGCAGTTAGTATGGTATTTAGCTTGAGGAAACCATCAAGCCATAACCTTTTTGACCTACACAAAAGCATATGTATTTAATCCCAGTTTCAGGAAGATAACAAAAAGACATTAAAGTACTACAAGGTTCTTTGTGGTTAAATGATTCACATGATTGGTTTAACTTATTTATGGATCAAACCAAAAAAGATTCACCTTTGTATTGGCAACGTTTTTCACCCACAAAAGACAAAAAAAAACTTCATAGTGGAAGTGTTTCCTTTTCTCACGATAAAGACAAAATGCAAAAAATCTGGTCAGCGTGTTGGTTGTACAAGTTTTGCACGAAAAATTTGTGCATCGAGCATAATTCTACCTTTTTTATAGCATAACTCTACTTTTTGTGGAGATCTTTGGACAAGACGGGTAAACAGACATTTTATTTTTATACATGATTTCAGGGTTGCTTGAAAGGAGAAACAGTGTGATTTGTCGCATCATTAAAGAAGAAGAACTCACCATGGGCATGCATGAACTGCTCGAAAGAAGACTCTTCTTGCAGCTGATGTGTTGCATGTCACATCAAGTTCATATGCGATGTAGCTGCGCCAGATTATCACCGAGTTGCATAGTTTCTCATCCTCCAATACTTTCTCAAAAAAACTGCGTATTCTATGCTGAGAGTCACCTCTACTCATCTCAAACGACAACGCGAAGAGCCAATTAATGACTGATGGACTCCTGGATGTTTTGAACAGAAAATATCCATAACAAGAGTAAGTAACCGCGAGATTGATCTACACCTACCCTAAGAAAATAGACAGCCATGCCTTTCTTGAAAGGGAAAAATACCTCAATATTAGTAAAACTCATGACTTTTCCTAAACTATGACCAAACTTAGTATGACATACATGGCCGCATGATTTAATAACAATAAAACACATGCAAATAAATAGGAAGAATTAACAACTTCCCATATTTACCGCCGCTAGAATTAAAAAAAGAACTAGCATGCATCACATTCGGATCAACATGCACAATATTCAGATGCTAGAATAGAAAAAATATTATTACACTCATATATTGGGAAAGTATGTTGTTTGAGTAATACTAGTGATAATTTTCTCTCCATGAAAGACAGTTTAAACATGTCAAATTCCATGACAAGACATTGATATCAACGACCAGATACGATATCATAATAGATACTACAAACAATCATCAATGTATACTACACCATTAGGAACATATTTTTAATAAGCAAATCAATATTAACAGGTGAATACTACCACATTAGGAACATGTTTTAATAGATGGCTTTTTACAAACAGGAAAGCTGTAGACCTGTAGTCTAAGAATGAAGTTATCATAAATGAAAAGATTAAATTGACCAAAGATCACTTGGGATTTCAGTGCTGTAGTTACAAATGTTTAAACATTCTACCAAAGAGAAACAGAAAACCCAATTCTCCTACATTACAGTAGTAATTACGCTACAGAAAAGAGAACCAGATAGCAAACTAAAAAGAGACATTTATCCGAAGGTGAAAGATATGAGGTTAACATTACTATTCTTCCAAATGAACTATAAGTGTAAGAAAATTGAATGTTTTAAAACTGTAATAATCGATAAATAATTAAAGATCTATAAATTTGGGCAAAAACCAAACGAAACATTGCATGCACAGAAACATGACTTATGAAATAATCCATTATTTGCACATAGAGCATACTGCATACGGACATGCCTTTTGAAGTATTGGTCGAATATCACCCTTAGCTTATTCGGCGAACAGTAAAGATGACTGATTTCAACTAATGCACCGTACAGTTTTGTACTGAAAGGATATATTTGCAGCCCATCCACAATAGACTGCCACACTTTCGATAGCTTTACTTGTCTGTGATGTTTAGAAAGCATGTTCAGATAATAGTTGAACAAAGACTCGAGATGATGGCTGTTCCTTCTTCTTTCTGAAGAAATACATTTATAGTCATAATGTAGAAAAAATCATCAGTGCATAAAGAAACTTTTAATGGAAAATAACAAAAGGAACACTACTCGTTTGCTTGTCCTGCACCCTCAAAAGCATAAGATGGGCTGTGACCAAGATAAAATCATGATGTGCACTATTGGTAAATGGTAACACAAAAAACTGAAAAAAGAACAGCTGGGAAATTACTCTATTGAAGCAAAGTGTTGTCATAAATAGTTCCATTCCTTCTTTTTACCTTCAATTTGTGGGGAGGTGGGGGAGGGTTGAAGAGAAGATGAGGAAAGTGGAGGAGTTGCGTGTATTGTAAGGGAAGTTAGGATGGACCCAAAATGGCTGCCCCAAACCAAGGGACATCAAACAAACAAGCCAAAAAAAATCTCAGCTCTGACATCAATTGGGCCAAATCACCAATGTGAGGCTTACACTAAATCAGATCACGCCGCTCACACTAATGGTATATACTCCAACCAAATTAATATGGGACAGTTAAAGTTATATATAAACATTAAAAAAAATTAAGTGGAGTATAATAGAGAGAAGAGAAGCTAAATGTCTGAATATATTTTGATGTCTATATCCCGTTTACAATGAGTTCTATTTATACAAATACTGACCAAGTCTATAAGGTAAGTAATAATATAATATTAAATGGTGGAGATATGTAACGGCTAACTACAATATTATGTCTTAAATGTGAATTATTCTTTTCCTTCAATACGCCCCCGCAAGCTAGGTATTCTGTCACTGCCAAGAATCCGAAGCTTGTCTCTGAGAAGGATAAAGCGTTGCCGGGGAAGCGGTTTAGTGAGGGCATCAGCTATCTGATCCGAAGATGAAATATGATGAACTTCAAGAAGGCCACGTTGAACCCGCTGCCGAACAAAATGAAAGTCAATAGCCACATGTTTCATGCGAGAGTGGAAGACAGGATTGGCGGAAGATGTAGTAGCCCCTTTGTTGTCACAAAGGAGGACTGGAGGAGAAAGTAATGGATGCCGCAACTCCCGCAAAAGAGATTCAATCCAAATAATTTCAGAGGCAGCAGTAGAAAGAGCTCTATATTCTGCTTCCGTGGAAGATTTAGCAATAGTGCGCTGCTTGACAGATTTCCAAGATACAAGGGACTCCCCGAGAAAGATGGCATATGCACTGGTAGAGGAGCGGTCATCAGGATTTCCTGCCCAGTCAGCATCAGCAAAGGCCCGGAGAGAGGGGGAGGTGCTCCGACAAAGTAAGAGCCCATGAGAGGCAGTGCCGTGTAGATAGCGCAAGAGGCGTTTGAGAAGCTGCCAGTGATTAACCGTAGGTTTATGCATAAATTGAGCCAATTTGTTAATAGCAAAGGCAACATCTGGTCGAGTAAGATTCAAATACTGAAGTGACCCGAGGACCTGGCGATAGAGAGTGGCATCACAAGAGCCTGAACTGTCAAAAAGAGTCAATGAAGCAGAGGGGGCTAACGGCGTAGCTACAGGATTAGCCTCATCCATTTTGACAACTTTTAATAAGTCCATAATGTATTTATGTTGATCAAGAAAGAGTCCACCCTGTGTAGGAGTAACCTGCATGCCCAAAAAATAGTGCAAAGCTCCCAAATCCTTGATAGAGAACTGGTGGGCCAAGGAGTCAATAGTCTGACGTACCAAGGCTGGTGTAGAGCCAGTAATAATAATGTCATCCACATAAATCAATACATAGATGTAAGATGGATGGGAGGAAAAGATGAACAAACTGGCATCAGCAACAGATTGATAAAATCCAAGTGAAAGAAGAAAGCCACTGAGAGATTGATACCACACCCGAGGCGCCTGCTTCAGGCCATAAATAGATTTCCGAAGACGACAAACAAACCCAGAACCATCATTAAAGCCAGTAGGTTGCTTCATGTAAACTTCCTCCTGAAGATTCCCATGTAGGAATGCGTTATTGACATCTAACTGATGCACCGGCCAATTATGAGAAAGAGCAATAGTCAAGACAATGCGAATAGTCACCGGTTTGATTACCGGGCTAAAGGTTTCAGAATAATCAATCCCAGGGCGCTGATGAAAACCCTTAGCCACCAACCGAGCCTTATAGCGATCCAAGGAGCCATCTGGTTTATACTTCACGGTATATACCCATTTACAACCCACAATATTCTGACCAGGCTGAGCCGGAACAAGATCCCAAGTGCCCTGTCGAACCAAGGCATCAAATTCTACTGTCATAGCACTCCGCCATTCTGGTACCTGCATAGCTTGAGAAGCACAAGTGGGAATTATATGGTGAGGTAAAGAAGCATTAGTGGCAATATTGGCCCGTTTGCGAGGTCGAAGGGTCATTGGATGGGTACATTTGGGTAGTGGAGTATCGGGTGGGTTTGAGGTAGTGAGAACAGTGGTGGTGGGTGGTAGAGGAGGGGTGGGGATAGGAGGATTGGGTTTGGGACGGCGCTGGTAAGTAATAATTTGTGGTGGTGTGGGTTCAGGGAGTTGGGAGGGCTGTATATCAGTTTGGGTGGAGGTAGTGGGTGACGTGTCAAGAGCCAATTGTTGAGTTGAGGTATGAGTAGAAGGAGACGCCCCCGCAGCCTACCTGAGATGGGAAGATAAGACACAGAAGGTTGAAGCCAGTGGTCAACTTCAGAAGTCATATTTGAGACGGGTGGTGAGGATGTAGAGAAGGGGAAGACTGACTCGTCAAACACAACATGTCTACTGACAAAGATACGGTTGGTGGTAAGATCAAGACATCGGTATGCACTTTGTTGGTCACAATACCCCAAAAAGACACAAGGTTTAGAGCGTGGTTCCAGTTTATGAGTGGTATAAGGACGTAACCAAGGAAAACATTGGCACCCAAAAACAGCAAGTCTAGCATAATTGGGAGGTTGTTGGAAAAGTTTTTCATATGGAGTGCAAAAGTCAAGGGAGAGAGCAGGTTGTCTATTAATGAGATAAACTGCTGTCAGAAAGGCATAGGACCAATATTTGAGAGGCATGGATGCATGGTGAAGTAGGGTGATACCAGTTTCCACAATGTGGCGATGCCGACTTTCAGCAAAGCCATTGTGCTCTGGAGTGTAAGGAGGCGTAAATAAATGAGAAATTCCACATGTGCTTAGGAATTTCCCTAAGGTTACGTATTCGCCCCTTCCATCAGAATAAACTGTTTTAATTGTGCGTTGAAAAAAGTTCTCAACAATCTTTTTAAATTGTTGAAAGAGTGGAGTGACCTCACTTTTATGAGACATAGGATAAAACCAAATATATTTGGTATAATGATCAACAAAGATAACATAATAACGAAAGCCATCAATAGAATGAACACGAGCGGGACCCCAAACATCTGTATAGATTAAATCTAGAGGCCCACAGCTCGAAAGAGATGATTTTGCAAATGGCAGCTTATGGCTTTTATTACTAGCACATGAGACACATAGAGAATTATTTGTAGTAACATCAGAAAAGGAAATACCTAAGGAAGACATAATTTTTTTAGTGATAGGGAGGGCAGGATGTCCTAAACGACAATGCCAATTATTTAGAGAGTATTTTTGTGTGATGTGAGCAGATGGAGATGGAGGGGGGGCATCTGGCAAGCTGTAAACGTCTCCTTCATTCATACCCCGTAACAAAGTTGCTCCCGTTCGCCGGTCCTTAACAAGACAAAAGGAAGAATGAAATTCAATTAGTACGTCATTATCACGGCATAATTTGGCAACAGAAATTAAATTGGTATGAATAGAAGGGACAAAAAGGGTATTAGGTAGAGAAAGAGAGTGAAGGGTCATATGCCCAACTTGTGCTATCACAAGACCTTTACCGTTACCAATGACAAGAGAATCAGTGCCAGTATAATCGGATGCCAAGGTAAGATTATTCAGGTTGTTGGTGACATGATTGGTTGCCCCAGAATCAAGTAGCCAACCATTGTGCCGAGTGACAGTCGTGTTGACTTGAGGAGGGTAAGCCTGTTGTTCAAACCGATGCCAACAGTTGAGAGCAGAATGATTCGGTTTCCCACAAATTTGACACGTAACATTACCCCCAAAATTACTATTTCCCGAGCTGTTGCGGGCTCCCTGGTTGCTAGTAGAACCTGCAAAAGTTATTATTTCCACGTCGGTTGGGACCGTAATGAGCATTGGGCCGTTGATTGCGGGCCTGATTCCGATTATAAGTACGGCCTGAATAATTAGTGTGACTGGGCTGCTGTTGGGTCTGGGCCGGTGGTCCTGGGCCCAAAATTGATGGGGCTGGACTCCCTCTGCGTGCTGCAAGTGCGACGTGTTCGCCATTGGCTACGCTAACATTATTAGCGGTGACTACAGAAACGGAGGAGCTCAAATCTTCCTTGCGCTTCATGGAGGCTTCGAAGCCTGTGAGCAGATTATAAAGGGTCTTGAACCGATTATCGCCGCAGGTACGAATCGAGTTAGCAAAGGACTCGAACTCTGGTCGGAGTCCTTCCAGTGCTTGAACGACGAAATCCTCATCGTCTACAGGGCGGCCAGCCTGAGCCAGTTCATTGGCGAGCGTTTGCAGGTGATGGAGATACACCCCCACCGGTTGAGAGCCTTGTTTGGTGTGGCGAAAGGTGTCTTTCATATTTCTGATTTGAGATGGTGAACGAGTCCCATAGAGTTCTTCCAGAGTTTTCCAAACTGCTGCAGAGGTGCGAGCCGATCCAACTAGAGGTTTACAGGCCGAAGTCAGAGAAGCTATGAGGGCGTGTCGGATGAGTCGGTCTTGCCTAGTCCATCGGAGGTAGCCATCTGCGTCAGTCTTCGGTGGCGGTGCAGCATCATCAGATATATACTGATCAAGGTGAAACCCAAAGAGAAGATCCAGAATCTGATCTCGCCATACAAGGTAATTTGAACCATCTAGCTTTTCTGGGAAGTGACTGGGATTTAGGAGGATTAGTCCATCTGGGATGAGAGGAGCAGAAACTGTGGTGGGAGGGGTATTAGAGGTGATAGGTGTACTGGTGGGAATATTATCGAGGCCTCCAGGTTGAAGGAGAACCTCAGGCTGACCATCAGTTGTCATGGGGGAGGGAAGGAGGGCTGGTTAGAGCTCAGTGGCTCTGATACCATAATAGAGAGAAGAGAAGCTAAATGTCTGAATATATTTTGATGTCTATATCCCGTTTACAATGAGTTCTATTTATACAAATACTGACCAAGTCTATAAGGTAAGTAATAATATAATATTAAATGGTAGAGATATGTAACGGCTAACTACAATATTATGTCTTAAATGTGAATTATTCTTTTCCTTCAATAGAGTATAGATGTATCAAATATATTTTTTAAATATTTTCCAAAATACTAATTCATCCCCAATCTTTCAGTTAGCATATTCATTTTTTTAATTAGCTTCATCCCGGCAATCTCTCCTTCATCCCCTCTCATCTTCTAAACTGAACACGGGCTTAGAGTTGGACCGGACACAACCTTTTTGGGGTTTCTCTCTCTTCCATTTTCACTAGAAAGGTTAGGTTGCAACTTGCAAGGGAAGAGCCCTCCCTGTTTTGTGCTTTGCTAGTTTGTCTTACTTTTTACTAGATGAGTTTGTCCACTAACTTGTAAGATTAGATACTGCTATGTAACAATATAATGAGGGGGTTGCAGAAGTCCTCACCACTCCAGTATTGAAGAATAAAAAGAAGACATAATTAGAAGTTAGTTTATGATGCTTGGAAAAGGAACTATTGTAAAACAACATAAAAAACACTCGGACATGACAAGGTCTATGATCTATTGATAAAAGGTCATAAATATATGGAATACAAAGTTGAGGTTACAAATATATTTAAATAGAAAGTTGATTACCAGGAAGAACCATTGAAAATGCTTGGTCAAAAATTTCAATACTGGCTGTCCCTCCAGTACTTATGTCTTCAAACAAAGCAGCACAACATACAAGGGCAACTGACTGGTCGTCTATCACACCACATCTCCAGGTCGAATATAGCAAATTTAGTCTCTCTCTAAATCCATGGCGTGCTCTTAGCTGGAGCAAGCTTGATGGCTGACATTTGTATGGAGCATATTTCATACCACTTCCCAGGCAAGATAAAATGTGTAAAGCACGGGAAAATGATTCTGAGCCACCATCAGAACCATCTGCAAGCTCCACTTCTGCATACCAAAGGTATAACAGAGACTCATTGCTCCTACTATCCTGTCAGGGGGGAAACACAAATGGGAATCATCTAAAAGAATATATAACTCAAGAAAATGTATATGGAGAAAATGCATATGACAAAGACATGTCACTCAATAGTGATATCTGAATAGAGGGTCCTCTTAGAAAAGAAAACACATTTACAATATGTTTCTCATCAAATTAAAGAATGTAGATAGAAGGCAGAGTTGTCGTTTATTTTCATTACCGCAACTGCAATAAAAAATAGTACGTAGTATTTTTTTTTCACATTGACCAATTTAACAAACAAGTTATCATTTGGTTTTTTAAAATCAATCATAAGGCCGATGAGAAGAAATAAATTATCCCCAAAATGTCGGCAATAGTGCTTGGTATAGGCAAAAAACAAACAAGGAGGCCCTAAAACATTGTGCAAAGTGAAGTTGGTTTACATCATCAACCAAGTCACCAAATAAGTTAATATCTGGTTTTTAGAAACTTGGTTATAATGCCAATGAGGACTGAGGAGCAATAAAAGAACATCCCCTGGTCGGTTATATTGCAAGGTGTTGGAACAAAAATATAAAAGGAGTCCTAAACAATTGTACAAAATGAAGCTGGTTTTACAATTTCAGGGACATAAAGCCAAGGGTGAGAAACAGTGTGTGCTGTAAACAAATGCTACTGAATAGTAAAATAAAGCTTAATATCTGAGTTTCAGAAGATGATGCATGAGAAAGTTTTAATAACACAGCCAAGGGTTGCGAAATTTGGGACTACAGTTGAATGGAAGGAAGAGAAATGCATTGGAAGCAAAACCAAGCCATGTTTATTATGTCAAAGAGTAGAGCTCAAACATACCGCAGGAAGTCCTTCAATGGATAATAACGCCATGTCAAATATCTTTCTAGATTGATCAATATTTCCAAATGCTGCCTCTCTCTGTGCATAAACTCCACATAACAATATATCCTATAGGAAAACATGAAAAACACATCAAATAAAATAAATTAAATACGGGAATTTGGGTGGAAAAGGAAGCAGGATGTCATAAAAAACATGTGAGAGAAATTGAATGTAATAAGTCGTCCATCATTACACCACACCTTTAACTTTCCATCGAAGTACTTGTTATAAATAAATTGTAAATATTGAAAGTTATAAAGGCATTTTAGAATATCCCTATTATTAGTTAACCCTAGTATATGTTCTATGTTATGTGACCATTCAAAGTAGAACAGTTTCTCCAAGTCTCCAAGAATACTCTCTACATTTTGTCTTCCATTGCAAAGTCTTCTGTCATGTAACCTACTATAACATGGTATTGGAGCAGATCCTTAAAAGATTGTACCTTTGATTTCATCCATTAATTATTTCAAACCTATTCGTTGGAGCACTCAGGAAATCAGTCATTCTGGGAGATTCTCCAACCAATTCTGACACTCCTGCAGTATACTAGCCACCATTCGAACACCACACGCACTCTCAAGCGCTGCCACTTTCCCGTGCTAGAGTCTTACACGTCGGCTTCTCCACCAGCGTGTTTTATCCACGTGCCACTTGCTTCCACAGTCACCTTTTTCGGTCTTGTAATACATTCAAGGAAGTTTGGGATTATGTGAAGCTTTTGTACTCTAGCAACAATTCTAGAATGTTTGAGTTGTTTGAAGAGTTTTTCAATGCAAGAAAATGGTAGACATGCTAAAGACCACTTTGCTGAGATTAATTATTTGTATAAGGAATCGGATGCTATTCTTCCAGTTTCTGCTGATGTGTTAAAAATGCAGATACAGTGGAGCAATGGGTGCTATGAGATACCTTTCAGATGAAGAGATGCCTTCTTAAGTGAAGGTATTTGCTAGAATTCAAAGCTCTATGCTTCATACTATATGTATTGATACCTCAGTTAAAACAGCATTGGGAAGTGAAAAAAGTGGGAACTTTGTGTTGGCACCATCTAACAGAGGTGGTCGTGGTACTATTCGAGAAGGCACTCAAGGAAGGGGGTGGTAGGACCTCATCTTTATAGTTTATATTGTACCTATTGCCACTTGTCCGAGAAAAGGGTATGTTCGTGACTTGTTTGCAGCTACATGGTAAACTTCCAAAATCTATTATGCTGTAAATTCAAATGAAAGTGATGGTACAAATGAAGAAACAAGCACTGTAACCATCACAAAGGGCGAATATGCTAAGTTACTACGGAACCGTGAAATTGGGGATGTCTCTTCACCTGTTGCCTATCTCTCTATGTAAGCACACTGTATGTGTATCTCACAATCTCCCACTGGCCACTGCTAAACCATGGATGATAGATCATTGCAACATAGAAGACCCCTGATAGAGAAATACATTCATTATTGGATAAGCCAAAAATCAGAGAGTTTTCCTAAGTGCTATGAGGTGAAATCTCCGCCTGATAATGGCATGTTCACATAATGGCAGACCACATACAGTTCTTATGGAATCATTCATTGGGCTAGACACTTGGAGTATAACTTTTCTCAAGGGAGGAACAACTGCCATTGTGGCTTATGATCTCCAAGTCTCAACGTAGTTCTTGTGGAGTTGTGGTGCACTAGATACAGTTGATTTTTTATTGATGCCGTATGATTGTGGGAAGTGTTGGCACAACGCTTGTCACGCTATCATGAAGTTCAAGAGGGGTGTGATGATACAGGCTCATGGATCCACACAAGAGTCCATGAAGTTATTAATTAGAAATATTATTATTAATTCCCAGCTATTTGTATTAAAAATATTTTCCTATTAGTATTGGAATTCTAAATATTAATTATTCCTAATATTAATATTACAATAGTTAGGACTCCAATGCTTGCTCACCAAGACTATAGGGGCTACTGACTAGTTTAAATGTACGGGTTTTATTCATTAATAACGGCATTAATCTTTTTGAATTTAATTTCCGTGTCTCTTCAGATAGCCAAGAACATAAACAATTCCTTATGTGGCAAGGGCCTACTCTTCCAAGGGTAAGTAATTCTTTTACCTTCTTAACATTCTCCATCCATCCATGCCTCTAACAATATGATTGATGAACTTTTTCATAAAATGGTATAAAATGTCACAAGCGGATGTTGCTAGAAAACCGAAAAGAAATGTGTCTACTAGAATTTGGCTCTCAAATGGGGACTTAGATGTTAGGATGGCACGATCATAAGGAAACTACAAGCATTGTTTCCGGTTACATGGTCAGGTAAAAGGTAGGAGAAATATATGACTAGATGTGGCAACAGTTAAAAAGTCAACGACAAAATGCGATCATTATTAGAGGAATGATAAAATATGAAATAATGCTAAAGTCAAAGCATGAAAAGTGGGATTCAAACAATAAACTCATGCTTTTATTCCTCATCAACTGGGTGAGTTTCATGCTTTTATTCCTCATCAACTGAATGAGTTTCATGCTTTTATTCCTCATCAACTGAATGAGTTTCATGCTTTTATTCCTCATCAAAAGATGCGAACAGTAGTGGTTCATAAAATGGGTTAGAACTAAAATATATACCTGGCGGTTACTTTTCAGTAGACTCTTTGCAAGCACTCGACAAGGGGTTACTAAACAGCTAGATGAATTCACCATGGTATGTGATACCTCCTCCGCAACAAGAGCAGCTTCTTCAAGGACATAATTTTGAGGGAATACAGTCATACAAAGCAATGTTGCATTACGGAGAAACTCCATCATACTGGTGCGCATAGATATCCCATTAGCACTGCTCAATATGTTTTCCAAACTTGTAACAGCTGGGTGTGTCTCTTTTTTCACCAAAACTTCATAAACCCTTCTCAGTTCATCTAAAAGAGGATCTGTCAATGCCTCCAGACTAAGAGTCTTCTCTGACCAACTAAAACTATTAGTGCAAGTCCTGTAAGTGCAAAAGTATAACTCTCATTAGATACTACTATACTAGTGGCAAGATCACTTTGCACTAGAAAGTGTACTGTGGAGTACAATTAAATATGCTCCCTCTGTCCCATAATCTAAGATGCATGTGGGATTGGAGCAGGGTTTAAGAAAAATGAAGTGTGAAATGAAGGATAAAGGGATAAAGTGGGAGAGTAAAAAAGTTAGTGGAGATCAATTTTGGAAGTGTTCATATTTTTGGGACACCCAAAAAGGGGAGTGTATATTACAAAATGGGACGGTAGCATTTAATTTCTTTTTTATCTTAATCAGTGTATAGCCATATGTCAGATAAGACTATTAGCTTTAAAGGTTGTTTCTCCTGTAAATTATAGATTCTCATCCCTATGAAGTGTGTTTGGAATCATTTATTGTTTAAATTTTTTCTTAACGTTTTTGTTTGGGGTGTTCGGTGTTCCCTATGTTCTTTTTTCTCCTTATATTATTGTATCGCAAAATGGGAACAATAGAGCTTGATTACAAAACTCAATGAAAAATAAGCTATAGATCCGAAAATTTACATCCATTGGTAACCAAGTGGCGTGGCCTACAACCACTGGCTAGTCGGCTACCATGCAGCTCCACAATCATTATGAGTCTATGACCCATTTGTGATAGTGGGCAAAACTCTGTTAGATTTACTTTCACTTTAGCTCAAGATATTTGTAAACTTGAACCATAAAGCACCTTTAAAAAACTACATCAGGAATGGATTAACGAATGCAATATGTGAGGTGTGTGCAGAACACTAACATGCTAACACAAATAAACTTTGAAAATGAAATAACACTAGCTTGCTTTGGAAATAGAACATATGGACTTATGGAGCATGTAATAATATATACCAGTGAGCAATTCTCCCACCATAGAAATCAATAAATTGTGATACCAAAGACAAGCGTGCTTCCTTAGAATATATTGAGAATAAGTAGTCCCGGACATCTTCATATGCTACTACCCTCAAAAGTTGGTCATCATCTGCCGCAAGAAATGGTATCTTGCTATTAGAAATCTAAGTTATCCATGTTTAATTGATTATCACATTGGGACGATAGACAATAAAAACATAAATGTATCACAAACCAAATGGGAAAATCCTGTGACAATTCACCCTGAGACCGGGGAAGAGATGCTAACCACAATTTGCATGTACAGGCATCCACTGGTCTGAATCCCTTTCTACTTCTTCTTCTGACCACCTAGCCCATGTCCTCGTATCTGTGATCTCAAAACTTGCTTCAGCAGCAGCAGTATCAATTCCAAGTATTTTCAACAAAGCCTCGGTATCATCTTTTATATCATTATTGGCTCCATCATCTAACTCCTCGAGAACTCCATCACTATCTGTCAACTTTTCTGATACATCATTAAGTTCTTTCATTTTTGATAATGGTTCTGACCAGCCAGTCCAGCCACCTTCGTCAACATCACTTGAAGATTGCTCCCTTGCTGCCACTTGTCTATGTTCTTCTTCCTTCTCTAACCATGATGACCAGCCAAGAGCTCTATCTTCACCAACTCTAGCACCATTGCTACTCCAAAAATGTTCAAAAAGTCTTTGTTTACTGTGTTTGCTGATCAGTAAAGATGGGGAGAACAAGGAGTATTCAATTTCTGCCTGAAACAAGGCAGTGGCCAACTCCTTGTACCCTGCTTGCCACTCAAACCGGCAAAGACACACAAATATATCAACTAAACCAATTTCTAGTTTTACAATAGCTGGATCAAGAGAAGCTGATGTAAAACCTTGACTAAACTGTACCAAAGAAACAAGGAGGACCCTCATTAAACACAAGAAAACTTATTATTATGAAGGTAGGTGAACACTATGTAATCTCGACAGAGGAAAGTGAAATATATGCAAATCATGATTAAGAACAGAAAATTAAAGAATTTCTCTAGATTCAGAACCTGCCAGTACTATTAAAGATTTTTAAAAATAAACAAAAAGCCAAATATTTAAACTGCTCAGTCAACAGTTTAAAGTTTCTTTGTGTAGCCCATTATTTGAATTGATAAACAATTGGTGTTAATGACTAAACAAAGTGAAAATAAAACACTAAAAGCTAATGAAACTAGATACAAGGTGACTAACTGCATATAAAAAAACTGCGTAGCTCAAAGATGAAAAAAGAAAGTGACTCTGAAAGCATAAAGAACTCAAATGTATGCACATTCAGATCAGGAAGATCACAAACACTGCAGAAAAATGAATATGTCAAAAGTTGAGACCTGCCTATGCTGTGCACTGCATGCACCAGATAAAGCTTGTATTGCATTTGCATAAACTTTTCTCATTTCTGACACCTTAAATCTAGAAAATTCACCCTGAACAACCCGCAAAAATTCTCTCCACAACAGGTAACTATCAGAGTTTTGAAGAAGAATCTTTTCCCACCGACTAATCAGTACATCTGTACTATCTCTTCTCTGGTAAGCCTTCATAAGAGAGAGAAGCAGGTCTTCACTATCTGGATTAAGTTCAGTAGCCTTCTCAAGAATACTTATTTTCTTCTCAAGTATTTGCAGGCGAGCAAGTTTGTGTTGCTGCATACTGGCAACCTTGTCCTGAAAATTTGCAAAATCTAACCAAACTTTAACATCATGTGGTCTATCTCTTGTCATCTTATTGAACTCCTTCGTCTTGCGTAACATCTCATCTTCCCATGATTCATCCAGCACGGAAGTCCCTGAAACGGATTCACCTCCCGGTTCTTCATCGCACAAAGGGATGAAATCAGATGAGTGTTGTATCTGGGGCCTTGCACGGGAAATTATTCGAGTTCGCTTCAAGTTCTTATGACGCTCTACTGCGGCACACTTTGCAGACCAGTAGCGACCCTCGGCTCTAAGTTTGCTATCCAGTGCATCAACATCACCGTCTGTATAAAGAATGCTCTGGCCAATATTCATGTAATAATTAATCTCAAACATTTTCCTAGAATTATGAAGCTTGTACCGAGGAACATCCATTCTGCACTATCACAAAATAAAAAACCTGTGTTAATTACTTAATTTTGATAGTAGTTTGGCTATATCAAATAGAAAGTAATTAATTAGCAGAGGCACTATGCGGCAACAAAAATAACCCATAACTCACTTTTATTTAATAAACTGCTTTAACCAAGCATCCAGCAATAAAAGGCACAAAAAGAGATTTTTCAATTACAAAACAGTATGAATCCAGTATTTGATACACGCACATGCACACTAAATGGGCGTTTTGAAATTTCATTTAACCTTTTCCTTAAACTCAATTACAAAACACATGAAAGGACCACGTAGAAATAAATCATGTAGAAATTCTTCATATGATGATCTCTTCCATCACTAGCTCAACACAGAAAACGAAAATCTACTTCAAAGTTAAAGCCTAAGCAATACCACAAATTGAAGCTCACTTGAATGACAATGTGAAGCTTACAAAACAGCTATAACCCATAAAACCGGAATATAAGTGGAACAATTTTTTGCAGTGATCAATAAGCATGTACCACAATAATTTGGAACAGTTTGATTAATCAAATATTATCAGAGTTTCAGTTTGCTATATAGGGAGCAGGAAAAATATGTTAAGCGCATATCAATGATATCATAATCAAAACTACCGCAATTTAAATGGGTGAACGATCGTGTGAAAACAATTACTTGTATAGGCATCCGAAGGCCAAGTTATCACGATCTCCACGGGAGTCAAAGTAATAGTCTTTGGCGTTCGTGGTGTCAACAGCAGAAGATGATGCCCAGTTTCCCACATCTGATTTTCGCGAAGAGAAAAGCTCACTCTTGTAAGGCGGCGGACGTCCATCATTAGAACGCTCACTTCTTCTTCCTCTCTTCTTCTTTTTCGACCGCCTATCCCTACCGCTGCCCTTCCTATCTTCTTCCGAAGGGTTAGACGATAAATTGCCGGAATCAGATGCGTCGGAGTCCAGCAACTCGTACTGCTTTCGCTTGGTATTCGCTTCCTTGTCGACTTCCTTCCCTTCCTCTTCTTCTTCATCTTCTCGCACTTTGTCTTCGTACTGGGACTGGTCGTGACTGTAGTGCATCGATAGAGCGTCGTTTATGACGGATAGGTCGGTCTTGAAGCTGGAATTGGAAAGCCATTCAGGAACGGCGGCTTCAGAATTAGAGAACTGTGGGAAAACCGGAAACAGTGATGACGACGTTGAAAAGTGTTCACTTCCCGCCTCCGTGTATGGAGGAGCCTCGCCTTCTTCCTTCCCCATATGTTATTCTTCGAAATGCAGCAAATTTTGAAGTGTGAAACTGTGAATGAGTAACAGGGGCTTTTTTTTTTTTGGAAAATGCCAAGGTGCACAAGTTCTACGCAACTTGTACACACAATGTCGGTCACAGACAATTGGTACGGAGTTGCCTGTGATCACAGACAAATTTTGTCTGTTTCTACAGACATTTACTTTTTTGTAAAAAGTACACTCAGAGCCGCCTGACACTGGCAAGTACTTTTTACAAAAAAGTAAATGTATGTGGAAACAGACAAAATTTGTCTGTGTACACAGACAACTCTTGTCTGTGGTCACAGGCAATTCCGTACCAATTGTCTGTGACCAACATTGTGTGTACAAGTTGTGTACAACTTGTGTACCTCTAGCATTTTCCTTTTTCTTTTTTAAAGAACACATCCTCCATATGTAAAAGATATTTCCTCTTTACATTATGTCTTAACACAACTAGATTTTCACCCGCGCGATGCGCGGTCTATATTATCGAATAATTATATAATCTTATTTATTACAGATATTATCCTAAATAGGAGTAAAAACGTTTTGAAATTCCAAAATAGGAGTAACATGTTTTTTATTTCCTGAATAGGAGTAATCTGCCAAGTTTGGAAAAAATGCCATGTTTAAAAGCCTTGTAATGCCAAACTTGGCAGAAATTTACTCCTATTTAGGGAATAAAAAACATGATACTCCTATTTTGGAATTTCCAAACGTTTTTACTCCTATTTAGGGAATTCTCTCTATTTATTAACATTATTAGTGCATGTGCAGATGATATTTTTTTATACGCATGTAATATATATATGAACAATATACAATAATTATAGAGAAAACTATAGTTATCACTAATAATAGGTACGATTTATATATCAGGATAAGAGGTAAAAACGAAACATACAATATATTTAGAAACACTTGTTTGTAAACATTTGAAGCATACAATGAGATCTACAAAGACTAAACATTTTGAAAGACTTCTTTGTAAACAACATTTGTACCACGGTCAATGCTTTTCCCATCTTCACCGCAAATCAATATCTTCAAACCCTTACGGTTTGTCACTCTAGATACTGCCACATACAATTGACCATGTGTAAAGACAGGTCTTATTTAATAAGAGTCCAACATGGATAGTCCTTCAAGCTCTTACCAATTCTCTTCAACATGGTCTCTATCTTGATGAGTGCGTAATTCTTAATTTCGTCTTCGGTCAATGTCAAGTCTAAAAGGTATGTAGCATATATAATATGTTAGATAAAATTGCTGAATGACATAAATGTGAAGTGTTAAAAGGCTTGAAATATTGATAAGTACCAGGATGCAGTAAAGCTCTCCTTTACCTGTGCAGAATGTCATCTGACATAAATGTCCAACATTTGTCCCACACTTATTCTTGTCTGCTCACTCCTCATTGTATCTGCTGCCAACAGTATGACAAATAGTTTTTCTGAGGACCCATGCAGAGGCCCAAAAACTACCTTCAGAGATTCCTTCAATATACTCCTTGTCATCATCTAACAATTCTAACGCATAACATGACAAATCTCATCGACATTTCTTAGATCATCATACCAAGTAGCCCCATGCTTCAAATTAAGGATGCATCGTAAAAAACTTCAAAAATTAGCAATTGGATTAATAAAAAATTAAATAAATCAAAATGTATGATATTTTAGGTTTTGGATAAATAGTTTTAAATCATTTGGAACCTATATTGATACACTTTATCTTTCAATTTCCTTTTTGATATTCAATGTTTTTTTATCTCTACATTGAAAAATTTTCTTCAAACTATTACTATCATATAAGTTAACCTAGTTATTCAAAATAAATTAAATTATTGTTTCCTAGCAAATTTTAACTCCTCAACCCCATTTAACTTAAATGTATGGGAGACAATAATTTCAGGACCCAATGGAACCCAATTATGGATCCAACCCAGCCTTAGAGGCCAACCCAATCTAACCTACCCACCACATAAACCCTTTGTATATATACTTTTTAGCAGCCTGAATCTACATTCAGTGACCGTCCTAAGAACCATGGGTATATACCGATGCTCTGCCTCCATCATCCACCTACCGCCGTATCGTTTGTCACCATTTTCTTCCATTCACCCCAACTTCCGTCATCCACCATACCATGTTCGACTGCTTCTTCTGCACCAAAGGTATGGTTAATCCAATTCTCTCTGTGAATGAAGAAGCATACATTAGTCTAAGCAGATGAGTCAGATTCATCAGACGGAGGGTCGCGTCGCCGATATACGATATGTATGTTCTCGTGGTACCCCGACCGTTTTCACTAACCATTTCACTCTATTTTTTTGGCAAATCGCTACATTTGGTACTCCATTTTTCTTTACTCGTTACAATACTTGCTTTCAATAATCACAATTTTTGAAAAAATAAAATAAATAAGTTAAAATCAGTGAATCTGTTGTACGTATCTGTCGACATGTGAGTAATGTATGATTTTTATTTTCTATATACATTAAAAGTATCGATTAGATAAATGTTGTCTGCAAACTAAACATGAATCGCATAAGTGAGCCTTGATACTGAAATCTATTGAAAATGAAACTTCAAGTAACTTGACACACATCTTAACACTTTTTGTAAAAGTCGGAACTCTGAAATTAAATGATTTTGCTTATTAAATCATCTCATTAAGAATTGCTCTTCACATAAATTCACATAAAAATACTATCTGAAAATATTTAAGATAAAAATGTTGCCAGTCTTTCAAGTTATTAATCATGAGCTAAAGAGTAAATGCTATTAAAATATTTTCTAAGGAATAAAATATTTTAAGTTAAGAATTTAACCTGAAATGTATGCTTTGTACTTCATTGGTTACAGTCAATATGACCAACATTTATTATCTTTGTTAGTCATAAATTCATCTCTTTATACTTGATAAGAGTTAACAAAAACATTGTCGCTCTGTTTATACCCTCAGCTCTAGATTTATAAAATTTGATTTTACTATTTTACACTCTGTTGTTCACTTAAACATATTTTCCAAATACATAAACATTATCAGGTTTACAATGACTTTTTTATCAATATATAAAAAATTTCAGGTCTGAAGTTTCAATTACTCATAGTAAATCAGTTTGTAATACCTAATATATGTAAACTTGAAAATCCTCAACAAAGTACTACTTTAGGTCTCAATTATTTGACTTAAATCTTCTATAAACGACCATAGAAGAGAATACTTGCATTGACCATAGACTCAAATTTTTTATCAGAGAAGAGAACACTTACATCGAGCATAGACTCATATTTTTCCATATAAGCAGTATTATTTGTTGATTCAATGTTGTAGGTAAGTGTAAACCATATTACAAATTACTAACTAAATAGAAATATTACAAACAACGATTTTCCATTTAGACTGTTGAAATGCTAAATAAATGTTAAGCATTGTGTGTGTGGAGAAGAATGTAGCTTTTGTGCCTTTTTGATAATGTTGTTATATGCACCTACTTGTAAACCATATTACATTTCAAAAGAAATCTTCTCTACCCATTTTGTATTTGAGCTTCTCCCTTATCCTTTATTCATTTCTTGCTACTGATTGTGGATTGTGCTGCACATGATCTCTTGCTTTATATGTTTCACGATCAATCCTGAAAGAAAACAAACAAAATTCAGAATATAACAAACAAAATACTAACCACAATAAAAACTTATTATATTGATTGGGTCTCACCAATGAGTAGATAGATTGTTGCTAACTTGTTGCATACATACATCCTCCCTGTAAATTTTAGTGATTGCTAAACTTAAATGAAAACTACTACTACAAAGACATGGAATATCTATATTGTGTTCAAAAGAGTTGTAACAGGAACATGACATACCTGGAAAACGGTTGCTGGAATGCTGAGGATCTTGACTCTACATCTCTGACCATCAGTGCAAATGTTTGGTTGTTGTGTTGTTTTGTTGTGTTGTGGATAAAAGTAGTCTATTTGTACATTAAGGTTTTGGGGAGCTTTGATAATGTATGAATACCAGATGGTTAATAATATGGACTGGCCTTTGAAGTGAAATACGACAGTATGAATGGACAGGCAGCCATAGGAGTACTGTGGTGTAAGAAAACTGTGGAGTTGGGGTGGAGTTGCTGGGAGTGTGTTGTAAGAATTTTGTGAGAAGTGTCCTATTTATAACATAGTATAGTGGTCCTATAGTACTTCAAAATTAATCTGAAGTGTGAGGCCCAATTTTTTTTTCAAATTTTCGAATATGTTGAACTACTCCACTATCTGTGAAAATCTTTGCACTGCATTAAATTGAATTTCTTATTTAGATGGTAACTCTCACCTACCTTAAAAGTGGTGTGTACTTTTGAACTAAAATTGGATGTATAGTCACACCCATATCTTGCTTCTCGTGCCAGCTTGCTGAAGATGAACCTTGCATTTAATGAAGTTTCTTTTTATGGATTAACTCCCAACCACCCAAAAGTACTATTTTCAATTGTGCACAATATTGGAAACAGTAGTCAACCGATTTTAATGGATGCTCTGCTGGAAATGTCATAGAGCTCAACACATTTAATGTGACTTGGCAATTTTAGGCATAAATTGGCAAAAAGCCTTTGCCCTCAAAGATTTTTATCCTTTTTAATTAAATATGTCTGCTGTTACACTCCAACTATACGTTGGACCCAGTGAACCCGACCCACAAACATAACCCGACCCAAATAAAAAACCCACTCACTGCTAGCCAAAAGATTGGGCGGGAAAACAACTTGCCTTTCCACCTCTTTTTATATAGAGGTAGATATTTAAGTGAGAAATAGTAAGAATAATAAATAGTGTATAAAAATAGGATACAAGTTGAAAAAGTATGGAAAGGGAGATAAAAAGTACTCGTAGAAAAATTAAGGATAATTGGATATTTTTAAAGGAAAAACTTACCTGAAAATGAAAGTGTAACAAACTTTTAAATATATCCAAAATAGAAAAGTGTGGTAAACTTTTAAATATAGA